ATGCTTGTTTTTCAGTTTACTAGCAATTTCCAGAATTTCGTTTGGCGTTACAAGTCTCAAAAAAATTGAATGGACGTTATTTATATTGCAAGAAAAGGGGACATCTCGTAAGCTATCCAGAAGTTCTGGAACAACTGATAACAAAAATGTATTGTAACTATTTCCAGTATCTTCAGGACTTCCCTCGACCTTGATTTCTGACAAATTCGAATTTTTTCCCGTTATTTATTTGCGCGATTCTCATAGCTTGTTTCGAGAGCATTTCGGTCTACATTCTAATACGATACTATCTGAGGTAGGCTTTTTTGTTGGTTTTTTATTTAACAGTCTTCAAGGAAAGTTAGTTAAACAGTCCTAAAACAGTGTTCATGAAATTATTCCATTGTTCATTAACAATGGAATAATTTCAACAAAATACAATAATACTCAAGCCGCCATGACCATAAACCGACAAAATAATAACAACAAACATCAATCGCCTCGAGTGGTCTCCGAGTCGGCGTCGTTTGCAAGGGTCACCCAAACCCATCGCATGGCGCCGCCGGCGACCTCATCATCATTGTCCAAACCAAACACCACTAGCTCTGGCAGCGGCAGCATCGAGGTGTCCCCAGTACCAGCGGCAGCACCGATTTCGCCCAACAGCTATTATTATGGTAAAGCGGGATCTAGTAGTGGGAGTGCAGACCCAAGAGCTGCGATGAACATGGTTTCTGGTAGTGGCAAGGGCAAAATACCAGGGCCGCTCGATTCGGACAGTGTAAAACGAGCTATATATGAGGCGCAAGCTGCTAATGTTATGCATCGCGTACAGAACCTAGAGAAAAACGATGATGGTTGGCAGATGCCTTCCCAACGGAAAAGAAATAGAAGGTTTATGGTAGGACGTAACAGCGATGAGAATTCAATCAGGGGCGTACCAAAATTTGTGTCGCTACATGTCACTAGGCTTGATCCAAGCACCATGCCTGATGACCTTAAAAAGATACTTATAAATAAATTTCCCGAGGTTATCTGTGAAAAGCACCCTTCGAAGCATCCTGAGTCGTATGTATCAATGAAAGTCACAATCAAACAGGACAATTTCAGGGAACCTTGAAAACGCGACTTATGGCCTGAGGGAGCTTTGGTCTCTCGTTTTTTAACGAGGAAGAGGGTGCCCGATCTGTCGTAGGACCCTCCACAAGAACTGATCACTCAAGATTAGATATCAAATTATTTTACCAAAATGTACGAGGTTTGCGTACAAAAACAAAAAGCTTGTACTCAAGCGTATTATCAGAAAACTATGACGTTGTCTTATTGAGTGAAACCTGGCTCACTGGAGATTTTTATGATTCTGAGTTGTTTGACAGCAGATACAGCGTAGTTAGGAAGGATCGGCAGAGGTGGTGGTGTCTTGGTCGCTTTTAAAAAGCAAATACGTGTCGAGTTATTCGAGTGTCACTGCTCAACAGAAATAGATTCTGTACTCCTAAAAATCAAATATTGTGATCATTCTTTTTATCTGTCCTGTGTTTATGTTCCACCAAACACAGGTAGGGCAAGTTACATTTCTTATCTTGAATTTTTGGATTCTTATTTGAAGGACGATATAAATGTTTTAATTGTGGGTGATTTTAACTTGCCTGAGTTCAACATGTCGAATCTAAATAACCATATCTGTGATAAAAGTACCCTACTAACTCACTTTTTAAGTCTGAATAATCTAAGTCAAATTAATAATATAGGAAACTTTATGAGTAGAAAACTAGATTTAGTAATAAGTAACCTTTCTTTGATCTCAGTTTCTAGATGTGAAATGCCCTTACTAAGTGAGGACAGGTACCATCCCTCAATATGTATAAGTGTGGGTCATAATACCAACATCTGACCCCAACAGAGCTCTGTCATGTTTTTATGACAAAATGTATATGTGCCTCGATGAAAGTATCCCGAGGAGAAAATGTAAGGGAACTGCAGGTTTAAAGTATCCACACTAGTTCTCTCTGGACTTGATAAGAAAAATAAGACAAAAAAAGATACTCCACAACAACAGGAATGTATCGGATGCGCATTTGTCTAAATTTAAACACATAAGGGTTCTCATCAAAAAACAAACCGAATGTGAATACTTAGAATATATAAAGAAAATAGAACAGAATGCAAATATAGATCCTAGTAGTTTTTGGAGGTACGTAAATTCTAAGAAGAGAAGTTCGGGCATTCCAAAAGAGGTTACCTATGAGGAAATGAAATTTTCTGATGACTTTGAAGTAGCAAATGCCTTCGCGCAATTTTTTCAGTCCGTGTTTGAAGTCGACGCCAAAGAACCTGGTACGAAGAACTGGGGTAATTTTAACTTTCCCAAAATAACAGAAGCCATTGTTAGGGACAGCATTAAGAAACTAAAACCTAAAAAAAGTGTTGGGTCCTATAATATTCCTTCTTACATATTATATAAGGGATGTGTGGATATTTTGACCAAACCCCTATCTCTGTTGTTCAATTTGTGTGTAGAGAAGAGTATTTTTCCAGATAGATTGAAGGAAACGGTGGTTGTACCAATACACAAAAAGGGCAATATTAATGAAGTTGTGAACTATAGACCAATATGCTTGTCAAAAATATTTGAAACAATTTTGTGTAATTTTATTAATAATCATGTGAGCAAAAAAATTGTTGAGCAACATGGCTTCGTAGAGGGCAAATCTACGGTAACAAACTTGTGCATTTTCACAAATTCCATTTCTCTTGCCATCGATGATGGGGTACAGATGGATGTTATTTTCACTGATGCAGAGAAAGCTTTTGATAAAGTCAGCCATGATCTTTTATTGCAAAAACTTGTCAAAGCTGGTTTCTCTCAACGATCTTATAATTTAATGAAAACCTACCTATCATCGAGGCCATGCAATGTTCGCGTGGGTGCGGAACTATCAGAGGGATATGTGGCGACATCTGGAGTGCCACAGGGAAGTAATATTTCCCCTTTACTTTTCTCTGTCTTTATAAATGACTTACCTGATTGCCTATGTGAAGGTACCGAATGCTTCATGTTCGCTGACGACTTAAAGATGTTTAGAGTGATCGCTTCTGTCTCTGACTGCACTAAACTGCAAGAAGATCTAAGCAGTGTAGCTACATGGTTCGGAAAAAAGAAAATGTCGCTAAACGTAGGAAAGTGCTTTTCTGTAACCTTTACTAGACGTCAAAATCCAATCGAATATATGTATATTATAAATCAACATTAATTGGACAGGAGAGATCACTGCAAGGATCTTGGAGTCACAATACAATCAAACTTCAGCTATAGTTTGCACTACGATGAAATTGTTAAAAAGGCCTATAGAATGTTGGGTTTTTTAATTCGAAATACAAAAGATTTCACGAATGTGAGTACTCTAGTAACGTTATATAATGCTCTCGTTAGACCACACCTGGAGTATGCCTCTGTGATCTGGTCACCGACAACGGAGAGTAGCTCTGATTTGATAGAAAGGGTCCAAAAGAAATTTCTCAGATACCTTTACTTTAAAAAATTTAACATCTTTCCTGTCTTCCCGATATTAATATCGTATAAACATATGTTGGAAACGTTTAACATACAATATCTATACACTAGAAGGTCTGTGCAGTCTTTAATGTTCATATTTTTCATAATAAACAGCATCAAATATAAAGATTCATTCTTAATTAACCTTATCTCATTTTATGTCCCTAAGGTTAACCTAAGACTTAGGCAAAACAATATATTCTCAACTAATCCCAGAAGCTGCTCTCCTGTAAACCGGATATTGTCAGATTGCAATCGTACTTTAAGAGAAAATAGTATAGATATATTTAACACAAGTGTAAATTAAGAGAGTTCCTATTGCAAAGTGAATCGTACGTAACATGCGTGTCTAGTTTTGTTTGCGATTTTTATTTTTTAATTTTGATTTCTATTTTGTCATCCCTTACATGTAATTACTTTCTAAGTGTTTGCAAGGTGTACCTGATAAATAAATAAATAAATAAATATTACTTTTTTGTACATTATATACTTCTAACCAGTCCTGCTCATTCAAACTGCTTAGAAATTTAATCTTGTCTTCCTCAGTGAATAATCTAGTATATACAGGGGGATAGTTTTTATTTGAAATGATCTCAAGTTCAATTATTATCTGTGCAGTATGGTCTGACAAAAAAATTCCCAAACACCCCACTTTCAAAAAACTCAGTATTTGTAAAAATATTTTCAATACAGCTTGATGCATTATTTGCTATTCTGGTATTTTCAAAAATAGTTTGGTTTACATTAAAAAAATTTAATATAGACAGTTTTTGTGTTATTGTCCTTTAAAAGTTCTATAATTTAAATCACCTGCAATAAATATTAATTGTTTTCTTGAAACATTTTTGTTAGTAGACATTCTACTTCGTCCCCACAAATGTAGACATTCTTCTTCGTCCCCACAAATGTTAATTGACACATACTGTTTCAATTAATCAGGTTCAGTCAAACACAAAATTTTGCAATTTGAATTGTCTCTCATCATGTCGTTGACTAGATCTATTGAGTTCCCAATAGACTGGACATTTTGATGAATTATACTTATCACTTTTCTGTTTGAAACTTCGGGAAGTTTAGGGTCAGGTTTCCTGGTATGTTCCACACTTGCTGCGCCTGTGGTAAAAAAGAGCCCGAATAATTTATGTGGTTCCTGTATTGTGATAGTACGTTTTCATATAGTGGGCACTTCATATCTCTAGCAGAATGTACACTTTCTTCTGGTTTATATTTTATTTTATTACAATTTGGGCATTTCCATTGTATAGCCTGACAATCTCCACCAGCGTGTTCTTCTCCATATTTATGACAGCACAGCTTTTCATTACAGTACTTTGCTACTTGTCGTGTCCAAATCCGAATAAAATGCACACCTTTAGCAACTACAAATGCTCGTTTACATTCTACATTCCTATATTTTATGTGGTTAAATTTCAAATGTATATTTTTAATATTTTACTATTTTCAGTGTTTTTGTGCCATGACACTATTCTACTGTGCACATTGGCAAACATATGTATCTGGCACTTTACGTTTTGGGAAAGTGGACGTTACCGAAGCACAAATGACTATAATGTGCATTCTCGTGATCTCAGCAATATTTGGCCCTGGAATTTGGTCAGTCAAGGTAAGAATATATTATTAATTTCATGAAAACACATTAATACTTATTTTTCTATAAAACCTACGCATATTTATTTATCAATAAGTGGCATAATCTGGGTATAAAATCTTAATAGTTGTAAGGCCGTATAGAGATAATATTCTAAGCAAAACAAATATTATTCCAACAGCTTTTTAGTGAATCGATTATACTTTGGTACTTGATACCTTTAAGTACCTTTATAGTTGGAATGTGGTCCCTTTACAGAAGTCTCATTGTTATTTTCACTGGGGGATGCGGCAAAAACGGATCCACGGTTGCTGTAAGTTCAATTTGGGAACTTACCAATGGGTGCTGAGCATGATTTGGGTGCTAACAAATCGAATTTGAAATTAAAATGTGATGTTTTTCTTATTTGAGGGGTTTAGTTTGTAGAATGGCCTGTGTAACTTACAAATTGTCACTACATGAATTCATAATAACAGTCTGAGGTTTCATTCACATTTTCAAGTTGACTAGTGTGTTTGTATAGAAAGACAAATATAGAGCAGCAGTTTCTTAGGTTTTTCAAAATACTACCCATTGTCCCCACTGAACTTTTTTCACTTGTTGGGGGCTTATGGCTAAATTTTTAAGCCATAGAATATACCACAGTGACCCCGACCTCAGACTTTCTTATAGTTTGTCATTAAACAATGTTAACCGCCCACCACAATATATAGATTACACTGTCCTTAATTTTGTCTAAAGGTCTGTTTCCACAGAAGTCTCTGACAGTTTGCAACCTGTCAGAAACAACCGCTCAGCTGAGTTACAGATTTATTTTGTAACGACAGCATTGAAAACATGTATGGGCGATGCTTACTGACAGTTTGCAAACTGTCAGAGACTCCTGTGGGAACATACCTTAAAAAAGATCAAACCAAACCATTGACAGTTTGAATGTTCAGATGAAATATTTGTTTCCTAAAACAAATACATACTCTATTCCTTTTACCCATTGAGTTAATCGGAGCTGCTCAACGTCAAAAGCTTGAATGTTCCTTTTCCCCTGATGCTCCAAATTTTCGGGGGGTGCAAGAAGCCCTTTTAGGTAATGTTAATATTGAAGAATAATTAAGTATAATATCCGAATTGTGTGTTTTGGAGTGACTCCGAGGAGCTTTAGAGCGACCGGTTTGGTGTAACTCGATGTACAAAAGGAATACAGTATATAAATATTCACTGTCCGTCATTGTCAGTATTGTGTACTGGACAAAATATTTCTCAGCATGATTCATGATTTGTATTAAAAAAATCTTTGTTTTTATTAACTTAATCATTCAAGATTCATTATTTTCATTTAAAAAAAAAATTAAGAAAAAACTGACTTGATCTTCTCTTTTCTGAATAGTATTTCAATTTCTTGCTAATGCTAATACATAATTTATAAAATATAAAACCAATGGGAAAATATATACTTATGACAGTCAATGTTTTCTAAATTTCTACGATTAGAGTTAGAGTTACTAGGCCAGTCAGGTGGTGGATTCACTACAGGTTCTTTGGAGCAATCAAGAAGAACTTTTCATAAAATAGATTCACTGTTAAAAATTTATATAAATTTGGTGATTATAATACTTATAGATATATGAATATACACTAAACGACTGTGTTGGTACTATATTCCTGATGGGATATCTGTATGTTGGCAGAGACGATTTGAAGAATTTACATAAAGGGAAAGGGAAAAATGGCTCCACAGTTGCCGTAAGGGATAGACTATGAATATTTAATTTGCTTTATTTTTGTATGCAGTTATTCAAGCGAAATGAGACAGTGATTTTTTATTTGAAAATTTAATTGTAAAAAAAAAATCAAAATACAGTAATAACGATAATCTAATCTTATATAAAGTGATAAAGAATGCTGTGACAGTGTTTTAAATAGGAAAATGTATTATTCCAAATTAGAATCTCTACCATTTGCTTTTAAGCTACGATTTTCATATTAATATTTACTTAAGCTAAGTTATCCAAACAAACATTATGTACCTAATTAGTTGCCCCGATTATATCCTTGAGTGGATACTATGCTACTACAATAATAGGTATTTTTTAATTACCCATATAATTATGCCTGTAGACTATATTGTTTAATTGCAGTATTTATCATATTCACCTAAAAATGTCTCTTTATTATTATATTGTCAGTACACTAAAATTAGGAAAAATGAGTGGAAAAAAATATAAGTGGACATGGAAAGTGGTAGAACTTATAATCACAAATTAACTTGGCATTCCCTAGCAAGTATCCACATATCAAAAATGTCAAATATTCATAACAATTTTGATACAATTAATCTTGTTGGTTTTTGTTATCAATGCTGTGTAATATTTCTTTTTTTGGGGAAAGTATTTTCTCGAGTAATATCTGTTCTGATTAAACAAGGAGCCTTGATGTGGGTTTTTCTTTATCAGTTCTGATTCTGATTGAGGATTTAATACTATTACAAAGTGTTATTATGGTATATTTATTTCGAAATCCTGCTAATAAAATGATATTACATCTTGGATATTTATGTTTTAATCACACCTTCAATATTAGCACAGAGCAACTTCGTTCTTCTGAAACTAGTCCTCAGCACGTAAACTTTTATGCTATGATTTCAACTCTACTACTTCCTGTTATTGAATGATTTTCTGGGATCTATGACATTGTCAATAACATATAGTCGTTCTAGAATGCGGTATATACTGATATAGAGTATGTATTTTGTACATATAGTGTAGTCAATCTAGGCAGGTTTATGCAGGTGAGGTAGAAAAAATGGGTAACAAAGTGATCTCTGCGGAAATGAGTAGTCAATATGGTCCCAATTAATCCCTCAAAAATCGCACTTTGTCGCATTGGTGGAACTTGGAAAAAAATGGCCGCCATCTTAATTTTTTTTGAATTTATTGGATATATCGTAAAGTATGCATTATATCGAAAAAACTCTGGAGAACTTTTTTGTGGAGAATAAAAAGTTACTTATATTACTATAGGCTGGAAAACAAAAAAGTTATTGAAATTTAATTTATTCTTAACCATATATGAAATGTTGTCATTACTGACTTTTCAAAAATTTGAAAATGTCACATTTCTGTTTTTCATTTTCCTGGTCCATTACCTGTCCAAGGACGGGATATTTTGTCCGTCCTCAATTCCCGTCCACGGACGGAAAATGGAACAGGGAAATATTTCCCGACCTCATTTATTTGGTTGTCACGAATTTATTTATTTTTTTTTCAAGAAATTATGATTAAAAATAAAATAGTATACAAACCTCGGCGGGAAACTTCATTGCTGTCTCAATGTTCAGTTTATCTCGACGCTACGCGTCTCGATAAGCAATAAAGCATTTCCCGTCTCGGATTGTAATATACTATTATTTAAAAATCTGGATATTTTTGAACTTAATCGCGTAAAATCGCAAAATGTATGCATTTTTCTAATAAAACTTAAGAATGCCTTTTAGTAGAGGTCGTAGAGGATTAAAGATACATATACTACTCAAAACGAAATACGGGCCACTTTTAAAAGCACCTTGGTTTCTATTGCATTTTGAATAACCCTGGTAAAGTGACTATTTCGATTTACAATATAGATATACAATTAAAGTGTGCACAAAAAAATTATATTGTGAATGGAAATAAACACTCTACCAGGGTTATTCAAAATTCAATAAAAATTAAGGTCTTTTTAAAAGTGGTGCACAACACGCCGATCGGAGTAGTTGGCGTCGCCGATTGGTGCCAGTAAATTCCGGTCGGAGTAGTCGGCAGTCAACGTGTTAATGTCTATTCAGACAATACACAGACATCTTAAGGATGTCCCTAAGATGTCCACAAACGACATTCAAGACGTCTTTTAGATGTCTGCTTACGTCATCACGACATTTTAAATACGTCGTATATTATAAAACCCAACGTCTTTCAGACGTCTGCCTAAAGACGTCTTCAGGACTCATATTTTAATATTTTTACTCATTTTATAACTTACTTTTTGTCTTTTACAAACGCTAGGGTCTTAAATTCTTGATTTCTTTAAACGAAAACTCCATTTTGGAAGAAAACCATTTGAAGAGACAGGACTGAAAAGTAAAAAATAAATCAAGAGCCTGAAATTCTAAAATACAGGAATAATGGGAATTCAAGAACTTGGAAAAAAAGTAAGAATTTAGAATAAAGAAGTAAGGAAAAATCAAGAGCCTGGAATAGAAAAAAATATAAAAATTCAAGAATTTGAATCGAAAGAGTAACATTTTCTTGTTAATATTTTTTTATTATTTATTACTCATTTTATAATTTTCAATTTTTATCTATTCCAGGCGTTAGGCTCTCTGAACAAATTCTGAGGTTTGTCTAAAGTGTTTCAACTTGGCTTGAAGAGTTCTGAGGTAGAATTCTGTAACGGCTTAGAGATTGTTATCGATATCGCTATGGCACTTGCTGTCTTCTCTCTTTTCGAAATCAATAGAGAGGGGACGTCATAAGAGATAGCGAAAATATCGCTATTCGTTACAGAATCCCAGCCCTGGAGCATTCTAGAAGTTTTTCAGTAATTTCTAAATTGGGTAGTCCGCTCCTTTGAAGGATCCATGTTAAATTTCAAAATGTTCTGACAGATTTTCAAGTATTTTTGAGCCCTATTGAAGTTCCAGAGTAAAGTTGAATTGGTTTAATAGCATTCTAAAAGGTTCCCAGTTCTAAATTGAATCCTGATTGTTCTAAGTTTCTGAATTATTCCAAAATGCTCTATTCTAATGATGGTTCTGAAGTTTCCAAAATGTTTTGTAGCGCTACAGAATGCTTTTGGAAATTATGAATTGAACTTTAAGTGTTTTGAACTTTCGAAAAGGATTATTATCAAAGTTCTAAAGTTTTCTGTAGCATTTTAAATGGTTTCAAGTAAATTGAATGAAAAACGAATTCTGTGGGAAATTTTCGTAGGCATCTTAAAGACGTTCTTACGATGTCCATCAAATGACATTCAAGATGTCTTGCTTACATCTTTAAGGTGTCTTAAAGACATCTTGAAGACGTCGTATGTTACAAAACCCAACGTCTTCCAGACGTCTGCCTATAAAGACGCCTTTAGAACTAAGGCATTCTAAAGACGTCTTCAATGAAATTTCTAGAAAAAGTCTTTAAATCTCTTTTGAATACATGAACCATTATTCACTTTTAGGCCTGGTTGTACGAAATAGTGTGGCTCAGTTGTTCTTAAAATGTGAATTTAGGACATCTTATATGGAGGTTTTTTTTGGTCTTCAGGCGTTCAAATGTAATGCAGAATGCA